GAAAGAAAAAAGAAAAAAAATATTTTGTAAAAATTATTTTGACTCGACGGATATGATTTTGCTCCTACGTATCTCCAGGTGCAATGGAGAATTCAAAGCCACATAGTTCTATATAAAAATTACGAAATTGGTTGATTAAAATTAAGTTCTGTAAAAAGAAAATTTATTTTTAAAATTAAAATTATTTTTATAAAATTATAATGTTTAGAATACAAGATAACGTGGTTATACATGTACTCTACGAGAAACAATACGAAAGGCAAAGGAAAATCACACATCCATATTGTAAGTCATTGTAAAAACTATGATATTTAAAATCTAATATTTTAATTTACAAAAAAGTACTTTTAATACATAATTTAATTAAAAAATTAATATTTGAAGAAATTTAAGATAGCGTAAACTATACATAAATATTTCACGATTTATTTGTCGGTAGAAGACAATATAAATTGCACATCTATATCGCAGATCATTTCGTTAAAATTTAGTAAAAATATTTTCTTCAAGTTGGAAACATGATTTAAAATTTTTAAATATAAAGTCAATTTTGAAAATATTTAAAGAGAACAAATTAATATATTTAAATTGATTAATAAAGATAGATGTTTATTTGAGGGAACTTAAAATATATTTCTAATAATTTTGTATTGCGTGAGACCAAGATAACGTTGGTATACAAAGGTCTCAACAATTTAAAACGTACAAAGGTAGAGATGCTACACATTAACATGATAGATCATTGCATTAATTAAATAAATCAAATTTGATTTTATAAAAATATGATATATTTTGATTAACGAATAAGATGAGATAAATAAATAAAAAAAGGTTATGTACTCCAATTGATTGACAAATTATATAATTAAATAGAGGTGCACATTATTTTATTTTCAAAATAAATTTTATATTATTTGATAACATGAGTGAAAAAGATTTTTAGACATATATAAAATTAAATAAAATAAATATATAATTTATTAATTTTAGAAGTAAGATTTTTAGACGCATTAATAGTGCATACGACTTAAGATAACGTAAGTATACATAGGTCTTGACAGTTTATAACATTTAAAGGTAGAGTTACTATACAATAACGTTATTAACTACTGCATTAATAAAGTAATTTAAAAATAATAATAATATTTAAATAGAAAAATATTTTAAATTAATTAAGAAAATAATTATCTAGTTAATTAGAGTTGAAACATGATAAATTTATATTGTGAAAGACCAATGGTAACATGGGTACACACAGGTCTTGCCAATTTATAACATAAAACAGTAGAGGAGATATACGTCAATGTTATAAATTGATATAAATATTTTAATGTTCATTTAGTCCTCCGTCTATCATATATAAATAAAATTACTAAACGAGAAATACAAGAAAGTAAAACATAAACATAGAAATCAAAATATACGAACAATTTATAAAGACAATGATGTTATGACAAATAATTAAGATAAAATAAAATAAAATAACTAAATACAAACAATGCGATAATACAAGAATAAAAGTCCCAATTTAATTTCAACATTACTGCATATTTTAATGAAAGAAAAAAAATTTGTAAATAAAGATTAAAAGGCAAATATAACTCAATTAAAAATAAACAACAACTAATATTAAGTTCTAATCAATTTTAATTCCCTATTAAAGAAATAAATCTGAAAATATTAACTAGATAATGTTTGAAAAGAATAAAAATAACAAATAAATAAGTAACTAAAAATGAAAACAAATGAGAATATAAAAAAATAAAATAATAAAAAAAATTATGTGAGAGTAAGTACATCATTTTAATTTTAGTGGATTAATAAAATTAATTTATTTAAAATTTGTATTATTATTATATATATAAAAAACCATAGTTTAACAAGATTTAAAATAAATATTCTTATTATTGTTGTCATTATATTTATATATATAATTTTTATTAACAACAAAAATAAATAAATAAATTTAAATATATGGATAAAATAAATAACACATATTTTTTTAATATACATATATTTTAAATAAACTAGAAATAAAAGAAAAATAAAAGATAAATTGAACAAAAAAATGCACTTTTTTTTTATTATTATTGGACTAAAATGGTATTAGCCCAAAAACTAAATTCTTTTCCCTATTTTTTTTATGTGTATTTTGCAGATTGGGCTCAAGAGCCCAATATTACTTCAGATTATAAGGAAACCTGATCCAACTATCCAAAAAGGGAAGCAATAAATAGATACACTAAAGATAAAGGAAACCCTAGCCGTCCAACTTGCCAAAACGCAAATTAGGGATTTCTAAAAAATCTAGGGTTTCTCCAACTATGAAAGAAAGAGGGGGGGAGGGGGACGACAGTGGTTTAGGAGCAGGGCTGGGGCTTGAGACAAAGGGAGTGCGATGATGACAACTCGCCATAGGTGCAGTGGTCGTGGCGACAGTTTGGGGTTGCGAAAGGAGAAAATGAGAGGGGGGGAAAGAGAGGAAGAAAGAGGCGTGATATAGGAGCAAGAGAAATCAAGATGATTTGAAGCAAAAAAATGAAAAAAAGACTGAGAAGAGATACATGTGGCAACAGTGGAGACAATAAAGAACTTAAGAAGATTCGCAGCTTCAATTTTTTCTGTATTTAAACTCTAGTTTTTTCATTTGTATCTTCTCCCCTTTTATTACAATGTTGCTCATCACCTCTCTTTCTCTGTTTTTTTCTTGATTTTAGTTTTTCTGATCTTTTTCTCTTTCGTTCCTCCCTCTCTTCTTATTACTAATCTCTGTTATTTGATATCCCTCCTCCCCTTTCCTTTTCGGTTGCCTTCCTTTTGTTCTGTCATATGCTATTTTTGCTTTCTGAATTACATCTTTTTTCTTTGCTCAAACACTCTATTCCATTTCTTTGCAATTTCGAATTTAAGCCTGTGTTAGTAGGCGGCAGGGCAGTTTGCGTGTTCACTGTTTTATGGGTTCTTGCGTGTTCACTATTTTATGGGTTCTCCGTTCTATTTAATTAAAATAAGAAAAAGGAAAGAAAAAAAATATGTATTCACAGTTGCCCCTCTGTACTTAGTTCTTATCAAGCAATATGTATGAATAAGTTGTGCATTAGGTTGATAAGGATTGAGTAAAGATGTGAATCAATTTTTGATAATGACCCTGTGCACAAAAATGCGAAGACAAGTGTGGTGAACACTTGTCATGAGATAGACAACATAACAAAATGTCACAAGATAAATAAATAAATAAGGTTAGTGATGTCGCGTTGAACTCTGACTAAAAACAAAGGTTGTCAAACAAATGCAGGGCTTATATTGAAAATACAAGTTACAAATGAAGTACTAGACTTTGTCAAAAGTGTAAAAGTGCTAATCAGATTCAGAACTTTGAAAGAAGAGTGAATAAGAGCCGGTCAGTTTCTGTGCCTTTGACAATACAAATGAAAGGGTGATGCTAATCAGGTTTTGGACTTTTGAAAATAAAATGAAAGGGTGATGTCAGTCAGGTTCTGGTTTTTTGAAAATAAAATGAAAGGGTGATGTCAGTCATGTTCTGGGTTTTGATAGTACAAGTGAAATGTGTCAGTCAGGTTCTGGACTTTGAAAGAAATGTAAAAAGTGTGAGTTAAGTTATGAATTATGACAGTAAAGTGAAATGTGCCAATCAAGTCCTGGACTTTGACAAAAAAATAAAATGTGTCAGTCAAGTTCCGAGTTTTGACAGTATATAAAATATGTCAGTTAGGTTCTGGGCTTTGACAGTAAAAATATAAGGAGATCAATCAGTTTCTGAATTTTGACAAAGGGGTAAAAAGTAGCCACTCAGATCTTGGGTTCAGGTTGAGAATAAAAGTAAAGTATATGCTGAATTTTAAGCTAATCTTCAAATGGTGACAATAGATAAAAATAAATGCATGCTAATGTAATGATGTGATTGCGCAAACTGAATGAATGTTAACACTTGGAATGCGGTTATTGCATGGTAAGATCAGATGAAGCTTTATTAAATCAAAACAAATTTTCCTTTCCCTCTTTTCTGGGGGAGGAGGGTTTCAAATTTCTCAATCCTTATTAGAACAAGCGCATCAAGGTTCCTGAATGAGTAAGATTTTGGTCTGGATCCATTCTTTCATTGGAGTTGTACTGGGTAGAACATCAACCAAGTTGGATTGTTGTTTACTTTTGAGTTGTTGTGAAGTGTCAACTTTTTTGTCATGCTGAACTTATCAGGAGACTCATGAGACTCACCGTGGATGTTAAAGCCTATTATTGTAATTATATATTTTTTATTATATTTTTTTTTTGCAATTAACATGTTTCCTTTTAGTATATAAATGCTGAAACGACAATAGAATAACTGTTTAACACTGTTGAAGAATTTGAGTAAACAAATTAGCAAGATGATGTATACATTAAACAACAGGTGACGAAAGCCAAGAAATAATTATTTGAAATAAAACGGGATCACTATAACTAAAGAAGAAGAAAACAAAACAAGGTTAATTTACAAAGAAGGATTACAACATGAGTAATAAGAAAAACAAATACATCAAATCAGAAAAATTACAGTGATAACGACATATCCTACTGCCTAAGTGACGCCTTCCAGATGAACAATGCTAGTCTCTCATGTAAATTGACTTATCATTAACAAAATTCCAATGGAATTGCTCCAGTATGATGTTTTGGTTTCATCTCCGGCTCGATGCAACTTCAATCTCTCCAAATTGCCTCAGTTTAGTGTTTCAATTCATCACATTGCCCCAATTTCAAACACTTTCTTGCAACTAAAGTCTTGCCCCCTTTTCTTCTGAACTGCCTCTACGGGTTTTCAGTTCAGTGTAGAGTTTATTTGACCTTAATTTTTGTCTGAGCCGCTCATTCGAGTTTTCAACTCAGTAGGTCACTCTAACTTTTGCCTAGGTCGCCCTTTCAGGTTTTCAACCTAGTGAGCTATTTTCTTTTCTTCTTTTTTTCTTTATTATTATTATTTAAGCATAGTATTTCTTGACCGCATCAGAATTCATGGGGTTTGGAAGATCTTCTCCATCCATGTTTGTGAGGATCAAAGCTCCTCCCAAGAACGCCTTTTTCACCACATAGGGTCCTTCATAGTTTGGAGACCACTTGCCACGATGATCTTTATGTGTCGGTAAAATCTTTTTGAGTACCATATCTCCCTCAACGAATTCTCTTGGACGAACTTTTTTGTCAAAAGCTTTTTTCATCCTTTTTTGGTACAGCTGACCATGACATAATGCATTCAACCGCTTTCCTTCAATGAGATTTAATTGATCAAAACGAGACTGAACCCATTCTGCCTCATCCAATTTAGTCTCCATTAACACTCTTAAAGAGGGAATTTCAACCTCAATAGGGAGTACTACTTCCATTCCATATACCAAAGAGTATGGAATTGCCCCAATTGATGTACAGACCGAAGTTCGATATCCATGTAAGGTAAAAGGTAACATTTCATGCCAGTCCCTGTATGTCACCACCATCTTCTGAATGATCTTCTTAATATTTTTATTTGCTGCTTCAACCGCTCCATTCATCTTTGGGCGATACGGGGAGGAATTATGATGTCGAATCTTGAAGTTATCACACAATTCTTTCATCATTTTATTGTTCAGATTAGTGCCATTGTCTGTTATCAACTTGCTCGGAGTGCCATAACGACATATCAAATCTCTTTTAATGAACTTCACCACCACATTTCGAGTTACACTAGCATATGAGGCAGCTTTAACCCATTTTGTAAAATAGTCAATAGCAACAAGAATGAAGCGGTGACCATTAGAAGCTTTAGGTTCAATGGGTCCGATGACATCTATCCCCCACATTAAGAATGGCCATGGTGATGACAAAACATTTAAAGTTGTCGGGGGAACATTAACATTATCAGCATATGTCTGACATTTATGACACGTCTTTGCATGTTGAAAATAATCGGTCTCCATCGCCAACCAGTAATACCCAGCCCTTAGAATTTTCTTTGCCATGGCGTGTCCATTGGCATAGGTCCCAAAAGAACCTTCATGAATCTCTTCCATGATCTTTTGTGCTTCTGAATCATCCACATATCTGAGCAATACCATGTCGTGATTCCTTTTATAGAGCACTTCTCCATTTAAGAAGAAACTCATTGCTAGTCTCCTCAGTGTTCTTTTGTCATTATCAGTAGCATTCAATGGGTACTCTTGATTTTTCAGATAACTCTTAATATCATGGTACCATGGTTTACCATTAGATTCCCCTTCGATCATTTGACAGTAAGCCGGCCGATCATGTTGTCGCATCTTTATAAGTGGCATATCCTCATTTTGACTTATTACAAACATTGATGACAAATTGGCTAAAGCATGAGCTAGTTGATTATCTTCACGAGGGATATGTTGGAAGGTAATCTCATCAAAATACTCTATCAATTCTTTGATATAGGCTTGGTAAGGAATCAACTTTGCATCTCGAGTCTCCCATTCCCCTTTCAACTGATGGATGACCAAGGCTGAGTCACCATACACTTCAAGAACTTTGACTTTTGACTCTATAGCTGCTTGAATTCCCATAGTGCAGCCTCATATTCAGCTATATTATTTGTATAATCAAATGATAATCTAGCTGTGATTGGGATATATCGCTTCTTAGGAGAAATCAGTATAGCTCTAATCCCGTGTCCAAGCTTATTAGAAGCACCATCAAACATCATGACCCATTCTTCTTTCCTCGAAGATCCCTTCTCTTCAAACAACATCATTATACTTTCATCAGGAAATTCACATTGCATTAACTGATAATCATTTATTGGTTGTTGAGCTAGAAAATCAGCAAGAGCATTGTCTTTGATCGCTTTCTAGGTAACATACACAATATCATACTTTGATAAAAGAACTTGCCATCGAGCAATTCTTCCAGTGAGGGCTGGTTTTTCAAAGATATACTTAATTGAGTCCATTTTTTACACCAACCAAGTCATGTGACTTAACATATATTGCCTTAAGCTATGAGTTGCCCAAGCCAAGGCACAATAGGTACGCTCCAGTAATGAGTATTTTGCTTCATAATCAGTGAATTTCTTGCTCAAGTAGTAAATGGCATGTTCTTTCCTGCCAGATTCGTCATGTTGACCTAAAACACATCCCATAAATCCTTCCAAGACTGTCAAATACATGATGAGCGGTTTCCCTGGAACTGGTAGCACCAAAATCAGTGGATTTTGTAAATACTGCTTAATTTTCTCAAATGCTTCTTGACAATTAACATCCCACTCCATTGATTGATTTTTCTGCAACAGTTTGAAGATTGGTTCACAAGTAGTAGTTAATTGGGATATGAATCGGGCAATGTAATTCAATCTCCCTAAGAATCCACAGACCTCTTTTTCAGTGCAGGGAGGCAAAATTTCATTGATTGCCTTTACTTTATGAGGGTCAACCTCAATTCCTTTTTGACTGACTATAAATCCTAACAATTTTCCTGATTTCACACCAAAAGTGCATTTAGTTGGGTTCAATCTCAACTTGAATTTTCTTAATCGCTCAAACAACTTATGCAAATTAGTCACATGGTCTTCTTCATTTGTCGATTTGGCAATCATGTCATCCACATAGACTTCGACCTCCCTGTGCATCATATCATGAAATAAAGTGATCATTGCTCTTTGATATGTTGCCCCAGCATTTTTTAATCCGAATGGCATGACTCTATAGCAAAAAGGGCCCCAAGGTGTAATAAACATGGTCTTCTCCATATCTTCTTCAGCCATTTTAATCTGATTATAGCCTGAGTAACCATCCATGAAAGAGAATAATGAATGTTGGGCTGTGTTATCTACTAATACATCAATGTGAGGTAACGGAAAATCATCTTTAGGACTGGCTCTATTTAGATCTCTGTAATCAACACACATTCGAACCTTCCCATCTTTCTTTGGAGACATCTCAGGCTTCATTCTTCTTAACTTTTGCTTAACTGGAGGACATTTTGGTTTCAAAGACATCTGATGCTCAACTATGCCAATATCAAGACCTGGCATATCTTGATATGACCATGCAAAAACATCATTGAAATCATGCAAAAGTTTAATCAACTTATCGCATTCTTACTCATTCATGAGGATACCAATCTTAACCTCTTTCTTATCTTCTTCGGTCCCCAGATTAATCGTCTCAGTTGGCTCTTCATGAGGTTGGATGACTTTCCTTTCTTGCTTGACTAATCTTAACATTTCTGAAGATAATTCAAAACCACTATCATCATCTTCGTCAGTTTGATTAATTGGGCAATCAAAATTATTTGATGAAATACTAGCATTGTTACTTTCAAGCATGTCACTTTCAAATCTGCAAAATTTAGGAGTTGAGACAAAGGAAAGCAAATAAACAACAATACTCAAACAAGAAAGGAAGACTAGCAAGATTACTGAAAGTTCAAAGTGCATTTCATTTATAGCATACTAAAAGGAAATATGTGTCCTGATAAGTCTATAATTAGGCCCTCTTTTACAACCCATATATTCATATTTGATCTTTATTTTATTTTAGATTTTACACTAATTTATATATTAATTGTGTAGTTTGGTATAAAGAGGCTGCAAGTGAATTTTGGGTGCATTCTGGGCCCAAATTGATGGAAGATTAGAGCTTCGCAGCAGTCAGCATGCCAGAACCCATTCAATAAGCACGAGGGTGCTTTGAGCCCATGCACGGTCGTGCTTAAGGCCTTGCACAACCGTGCTCATCTGCAGGAAGCCCAATTAATTAGAGTTTTTAGGGTTTTCAAAACCTATTAAAAGGAAGACCGAAGGCATCATCAAAAGGCATCTTGGATACACTATTTTACACTGTTTTTACATCTTGACTTTTGCTCTGGGATACATCTTTCATCTCGTCTCTCTTGCATGGGATTCTTGGCACATGCTTGGCGAGACTTGGAGCTTCAAGCAACCGTACTTGAAGACTGGGAACTCATCATACTCTAGTTTTTCTATTTCTTTTCTTTATGGCTTTATTCATGAAAGTTTTAGTTCTTTTCTTTAGCATGAGTAACTAAGTCCATAGCTATGGCTATGGGAACTATTGCTTATGAATTTATGGGATTTTGATGTTTGAATCTTAATTTGATTTCCGTTATGTGATTAGATTTTATCCTATTACGCTTCTTTCTTAATCCTAATTAATTATATCGTCAGGTGACCATACCTCGATAAATTAATAGATCTATAGGGTAAAACGAGACAAAGGATTAGGTGGATCAAACCAATCTTTCTCTTCTAATCGTTATTAAATTGACGAGTTCATAGGCTCCTTAAACTTTCTTAAATTGATATCTTGCATGACCATTGTGGATGTTAATTTAGAGAAAAGAATATTAATATTGCATGACCATTAGGTATTAATAATATTCGTATGAATGATTGGTAATCACAAGGAAATCGGATTTAGAGTTAAATAGAAAAATAACATAAAGGATTGAATGAGAAAACCCATATGCCCTAGGTTCCTCTCCGATAAGTTTAATTAAGACGTGCATTGTATTTCTTGCTCTTAGTTTTATAATTGATTTTATAAATTCTTGTTTTTAATTAATCTCGTATCTTTGAAGCTTAAACAATTAAGTTAGAAAATTCTTAGTAATTGAAAATTAATCCTTGTGGGATGATATTTTCAGAATTTAATTTAAGAACCCTTTATTACTTCTCGATGGGTACACTTGCCCTCTGAACATGTCCCAGTTTACAAAACATATTTGTGAACATAAATTACAAAACAAAGAAGCCACTCGTCAATTTTTCAAAAAAACTATCCTAAGGCTTTGGACAGAGCAATAGGATTGGCTTCATATAATTACTTTGAATAAGCATTAAAGACTACGGGAAGCTCGATGATCTTCCAATTTTCGATTTCAGTGTTCAGCAGACAAATGCGGACTAGGTTGACAACTTCTTCTTTAGGTTCCTCTTCATCAGCAACAGCCACTGAATCTTGAAATTCAAACCCGGCACTGTAGAAACTTTTTTGAAGATCACAGATAGGGACCCCTTTAGTGTTTGGCTCTCTACCCTCCAACCTAGCTGTTCTTCTTTCTTTTTTCTCCTCTATAACTCTTTTCTTATCAGCTTTGGTAGGTGTGAACCCCAGCCCAAACCTATCCTTGTTTTCATAGAGCTGTGGCCATTTTGCTAGTTTTGACATAATTTGTCCTGACCCATATCCATATTGACAACCTCCATTAAGCATGACTTTAGCAGTCATTATGGATGCATTGGATAACTGAGGCTTCATGATTGGAGCTCCTTCCCCAACATAAGTAGCATTTGCAATCTCTAAAGCTTGAAAAGCAATCTCCAGAGCTTCCTCAGCAACTTCAATATAAGGAGTGGACGAAGGCTTGCTCACTAACATATCATCTTCACCAGAGACAATTACCAGCTTGTTGTCAATAATAAACTTTAACTTTTGGTGCAATGTAGATGGAACAACTCTAGTAGAATGAATCCAAGGCCTCCCTAACAGGCAGCTATAAGCTGGTGTAATATCCATTACTTGAAACAGGATTTGAAAAGTGCAAGGACCAATTTGAATTGGAATTTCAATTTCTCCAATGACCTCCCTCCTTGTTTCCTCAAAGGCTCTCACTATCATGGCACTGGGTTTCATATGCGACCCATCACATGGTAATTTTGACAATGTCATTTTTGGCATCACATTTAGAGAGGACCCGTTATCAATAAGCACTTTAGCAATGATATGATCTTGACACTTCACAAAAATATGCAGTGCTTTATTGTGTCTCGTTCCTTCAGCAGGTACTTCATCGTCAGTGAAAGTGAGATAGTTATTTGAAGCAATATTACTGACAATGCCCCCAAACTTGTCAATAGTTATGTCATGATTGACATGTGCTTCATTTAGCACCCTCATTAATATCTTCCTGTGTGGCTCAGAATTTAGTAGCAGGGATAGAAGAGATATCTTAACTGGAGTGCGATTTAACTGCTCCACAACTTGATATTCACTTTGCTTAATAAACTTCAAAAATTCATAAGCCTCTTCATCAGATACCGCCTTCTTTATTTCAAGCATTTTCCCTTCATTCATATCTCCAGAGTCTCCCAATTTGGCCTTCCCTTTTGAAGATCTCTCCATTTCTCTTGTCTGCTCTTTTCTCAAATTTTCAAGTGTATATATACGACCACTTCGGGTCATCCCTCCAACACTAGCTATATTTGAAATGGCAAAGGTATTAGAGCTGACACCTTTTGTTTGGTCTCTTTTCTGATTATCAACAAAAACTCTCGCATCATACCTCCAGGGCACTGCTTTGTTATCCTTGTAAGGAAACGGAGCTTGTACTTGTATAGTGATGGGTCTAGGTCCATTAGGGGTTGGAGTATTCACACTTTTGCTATAATGAATGACTAAGGGTTTTGGGAAGGCTGGAGGCTGTCCATCAATAACTAAAACTTCATTTTTCTCTTTGGGACACCCAATTTGGACCAAATGTTTGTCCATCAGGGTTTGTAGAGCATGCTTGAATTCTTGACAATTCTCAATGGAGTGGCTTGCATCAGGGTGCATATCACACATACTTTCCTCATGAACAAAACCCTTAATCATGTTAGCCTTGCACAATTCAGCGAAGATAACTTTCAGAAGAGTTGTAACCTCTTCAACTTTCCTCTTTAAAATGTAGGCAGACTCTTCTTTTATGACATTTACTAATGATCCTCCGTGTCCAGGCAGAGGATTATTCCCAATGTTAGGAGTATTCTCCTTGAAATTCAGCCATTTGGCATTGATTAAGTCTTGCACTTTGAACTTCAGTGCCCGACAATTTTCTGTCAAATGACCAATGGCACCAGCATGATACTCACACTTGGCATTTGAATCATACCCTCTCGGATAGGATGGTTCTATAGGTTTCATTGGACATGGTATAACTAGTGGACTTTGGAATAGGCGAAGTAATAACTCTGTGCAAGACATGGGGATTGGGTCAAATTGAACCTGCTTTCTCTCTTGATTATTTTAGGATCTTATTTGGCTGGTGTTTGGAAGTTGGTGCCAATGTTGGGGTGGTCTCATGGGTGGTGTAATAGGAAAAGTAGGTGCGGAGGGTTGGTAAGGCCGTGATTGGTAGGATTGGCAGTTGGGGTGGTTTGAAATGGCAGTGACATACGGGTAAGGCATTTGAGGGGCAGGGAATACAGGTTGGAAATGGTGTGGTGTCTGGTAAGGTCTAATGAAAGGAACTTCTCTTGGGTGGAAAGTTACAACATTAGTCTCTCCTTCTTTTTTTTTTGCCCATTCCAAACTGAGGTTTTTTTGTGTTGGCCACTCTGACAAAACTGTTAGGAATTTTTCCTGTCCTCATGCCACTTTTTACCCTCTCCCCTATGATTACAATGTTTGAAAAGTTTGATGATACGCTTCCAATCATCCTATCATAGAAGGGTGATTGGAGAGTATCAATGAACATAGCTACCATTTCTTTCTCTAGTAGGGGAGGCTCTACTTGAGCTGCCAGTTCTCGCCACCTTTGCGCATACTCTTTGAATGACTCATTTTCCTTCTTAATCATGTTTTGCAGCTGCAGCCTATCAGGAGCCATATCAATATTGTATTTATATTGTTTCAAGAAAGCATCGGCTAAGTCCTTCCAACAACGAATACGACCACGCTCCAAATGCATATACCAACTTAAAGCTGCCCCAACTAAACTGTCTTGAAAGAAGTGAATCAGTAATTTATCTTCATGAGCATGTGATGCCATCTTTCTACAATACACTATTAGGTGACTCTTTGGACAAGTAGTTCCTTTATACTTATCGAATTCAGGCGTCTTAAACTTTGGAGGATAGTGACGTACGGGACTAGGCATAAATCTGTAGCTTCCCCTATACCATAATTGCTTCCTTCAATGGCTCTCAACCTTTCTTCAAATATCTATAGCTTTTCTTGAGATTAGAGATTTTCCTTAGGATGGAATGGTGATGTTGATGGATTTCCCCCAATACTGAGGTTGGTGATTTGTGGCTGTTGATGAATTAGCAGGTTTGTTGTGGGTATTGCGTGTGGTATGTGGCTTTCATAAGGATTAGCATTTTGAGGATAAGTATACGGTGGAATGGATGTTTGGGTTGGTTGGATTTGTGGTCCTGAAGGTTGGTTAGGATTGGTTTGATTTGACGGTTGGCTTGTATTTAGTGGGTTCTCAGCTATTGGCGGAGTATAATTAGGGAGAAGACCATATGGAGGAAACTGGCCCTCTTGATGATTACCAGATTGTTGCAAGGGTCTTTGTATGTGTGGAGTCAAAGGCACCATTGTTTCCTGAGCGGGAAAGCCTTGAGATGGTCCTTGTGTAGGAGTAAAACCAAGTGGGCAGATAGGAGTAGGTTGTTGGGCAGTAGGGGGTCCCTTCTATGGCTCTCCTTTCTAGAGACTTTAGTGCCTCCAAAATCTGCACCATCTATTCCTTCAGTTGATTAACGTCATTTCTCAGCTCCTCATTATATTCTTCCAACTCATCCATGATCTTTGATTGAGCGCGAATTCTATAAGGATGCTTTAGAAAGTGTTTCCCCATTATGTTTGTTTTTAATTTTTTCTGGGTCATGCAGTCAAGAAAGAAATTAATAAAATGAAACTATAATTAAGGGAAAAAAAAAAGAATGAAAATTTAAAGAATCATCACAGTTGTTGAGTGTCTTCAGGTCTTTAATGGAAATTAATGTAGGATCTTCATTAAATGAAACACACCAAAATACAATTCTTAATCAAACATGAAGTACATCATAGTTTGATTCAAAATACACCATTCTCTTCCTACCCTTACATAATCTACCCGCATCCTAAGTCATTACATCACCCTTTCCTGGCCCTAGCTATCATTCCTTTCATCTCTGAGATTAACCAGTTGCAATGGCTGAGGAAATCTTTAATTTCTTGAGGTGTTTCGTAGAAAAAAGTAGCTGTCTCAGCATTTGCTAACATGCGTAGAATATCATCAATTGCTCCATTAACCAAAGATGCTAGCTGTATGAAACGCTTCATCCAATACTCAATGAGCTTGTCTCCTTCTTTTATTTGACCATTCTTCTGTTTAACAATGACTTCATATTCTTGCATTACCCTGATCACTTCCCATTTCTCCATATTAATTTCAGCCTCGCACGCTACGACAATTTCTTGTATCTGTTGCTCCATGTGTTGCACTCACGCCTGAAGCTCATTTACTTATGTCAGTGCTTCTTGTTTATCTCCTTTGGCTTTGTACAATGCACCTTTCAGTTGACGCTTTTCATACAAGGCTGCATTCCGTTCTTTTACCCTTAATCCCAGCTCTTTGCTTGCAGCTTCAAGACATCGTTGAACCTTAGATGCATGACTTTGCACTGACTTCTGCTTCTTACAAACTTCTTCATAAGCTTGTTGTTTTTCGTTGTTTTCTCTCTTCAAAATGGCACAAGTCTGGCGGCTTTCTTAAAGTTCCCTTTCTATCTTCACATTTTTCTCTATCATCTTTGCTAGTCTTACCTTTAAGTCTTTCACTTCTTCATCCTCAATAGGTTTTGGATTAGATGATTCAGTTTCTTGGGAAGTACCTGGGGCCTTAAATGGTAGCTTAATCTCTTGGACCCTTTCATTAACCCACTGACGGTAACTTGCTTTTGCCGCACAACTCCTCACACTTAACTCTTTTCCTTTTTGAATAAACTTTGCCCAGCACTCTTTACTTTTTAGATTAACTCAGTGAAATTTCCATCTTCATAGTAGAAAACAAAAGGAGTCAGCAGTTCCTTGGCAGGTGGTCCCATCATAGGATAGGCAAGCTGACGTTGCCCCATAACTGGATTATAATTGATGCACCCTCAAGTACACATAAGAGGAACATTTGGGTAATTCCCACAATGATAAACTATGGTCGTCGACTACTGCCATAGGGTGTGCCACCTAATGTGTCCTTTATTCAAGCTAGCTAGGTGGTTGGCCCATTCTTGACCACTCTTTGTCCCAATCTGAAACCTCAGCAAATCAGTGATTGGGCATTTGATCTCACTTGGTCTTTTAAAGATATGAGTTGTGAGCCATATATAGAGCATAGGCAGACAACATATTATTTTTTTCCTTTCTTCTCGTGGCAAAAGCTTAGTGTACAGTAGACATCAGCCAATATAGCAATGACAGGGTTTTCAAGTTGATTTTTACGTGCGAGAAACACATCTATGGATGTTAAATCCACAAAGTTATCATGCTTGGGAAAAAGGACAATGCCATAAATAGTGAGTGCTAAAACATCCATAAAAGTCTCCCAATCTTCATTGCTTGCTAGGTTTTGCATATGTCGCTCAAGAAAATCTCTCGTGAACCCTCTATTTTGATGTCTCTCTTGACAAGCTTGTTGCAATTCTGCTGGGTGGATCCTTAAGACATTGGCTATGGTTGGGAGGGATGCATGGTGTTCTAAGGGACGGTATGGCTGCTGACTTTCCAAAGGCAAGTCTAGATGCTCAAACTCCTCTAGTGTTGGAGCCAGCTGAAAGTCTTGAAAGGTGAAACATCTTAATGGAGAATCATAATATTGGGCTAGGGCTATTATGGCATCTTCTTGTACATCCACCTCTATCAATCTCAGAATGTTCTCGAATTTTCTCACTAAAGTGAGTTGTTAAACTGTCTTCAGCTTTTTTCCTAACTCTCTCAGGCTGGTGGTGTCAACTTTCTTAACCTTTAGATGCAACTTTCTTCTCAATTCAACTAACTTTACCCCACTACTACTTGATCCCACATTAATTTCCATTTTCCTTGGATACTCAAACAACTTTGTGATCTTTCACCTATAAATAAAATAAGAGAAAGGAAATAGATGAGAAATTATTCAAAATCTTGGATTTATTTCATTGATATAGGATACTAGTGGTGATAAGGAGTAGTACTGATTCTAAACAGATAAATTATCCGTGTAAGAATCAATATTGGTTTTAAACAGGTTAAAAAAAATCTACTAGACACTTACATCGATGAAACAAATATGTGATGATCATGATAATGAAAGAACAGTATGAATCATTATCCTCTTTAACATTTCTTTGAAAATTATTTTTTACTTTTTCATAAATCTAAATGGATGCTTAGAAGGATAATGCTTCACATTACAATGTAATGATGCAAGAAACATGGCAATTGTCACAATTAACCCTTTTTCAAAATTTTATTTTACAGTTATAACAAGTGCTATAGAGATGACAACAAGCATGATCTTTGAATTTATGATATGCCATAACATGCAAAATGATAATGATATAAAGAAAATTAACATAGAGAATCATGTGGATCACTGGCCTTTAACATTATTCCAAATTTTAACAATATTTCCTCTCCTTTTTTCTTTAAAACCTTAAAACGCTAATAATTCACATGATTTCTAAAAGAGGAGATAAGATAAAATGCTCCCTCTGTGCCCTATTTTGGATCACCTAAGGGTCTAACCTAAAGGTCTAGGGCATTCTTTTATGTGTAAAGACTCGTCAAAGGTAGCTTGTAATCCTAAAAGGTCACTAGAATCAAGATCTAATTCTTAACGTTGACCACAACAGTAGGGAGTCTACTAGATGTGGGACATCAAGAAAAGATCAAATTCTAACTAGGGTTTTCACGATAGTCAAATAGGACGTGCATCCAAAATGCACTGCTACATAACCCTTCTATTTCTAAGCACACTCAGACCCGAGTATAGGGCCCCGCTCAAAGTGTGTGATGAATGTGTAAGTGATAGTGTGTGAGGGAGAATACAAACCTTATCAACTTGACAGAAATAAAAGCTGCAAAATTAAACAATACAAGAATACCACACAAATTATTAATAGACATCTACCCTAGGATTAACAACAATATCAAAAGTATATACAATGAGGTTACAAAATTCATGTACAAATAAAAGAAATATAATACAACTAATTCCAATAAATAAGAAAAGAGAAAAGGATTAAACAAACATAAATAAAATAACATAAATTTGCACAATTAATTATCAAAGGCCTGACTCTCTAAAAATTTCCCTAGTGGAGTCGCCATCTGTCGCAACTAGGCAGTCGCAACGGTACAGCGAAAAATGTTTTTAAGAAAAAAAAATCAGTAGAGTCACCACCGAGGTTTATCAAAGAAAACCTCAGAAAAAAAATTAAAATTTTGATCTTTGAAACCAAAAATGGATTCATGAGTCATTTACGTGTAGGGAAGGTGTTAGCACCCTACAACGTCCGTTTAAATAACGGTTACCTTAAATTAATTGTGCAAATTTATTATAATTTTGAAAAGCATTTGTTTAACCCTTAGAAAATAAATGTTCCTATTTTTTTTATTTTTAAAGAGAGAAGATTTATTCATTAAAATGTTAAGTTATATCATAGAAAGAAAAAAGAAAAAAAATATTTTTAAAATTGTTTTGACTCGACGGATATGATTCTGCTCCTGTATCTCCGAGTGCAATAGAGAATTCAAAGTCATGTAGTTCTATAGAAAAATTACGAAATTGGTTGATTAAAATTAAGTTCTGTAAAAAGACAATTTATTTTTAAAATTAAAATTAGTTTTATAAAATTATAATGTTTAGAATACAAGATAATGTGGTTATACATGCACTCTACGAGAAACAATACGAAAGGCAAAGGAAAATTACACATCCATATTGTAAGTCGTTGTAAAAACTGTGATATTTAAAATCTAATATTTTAATTTATGAAAAAGTATTTTTAATATATAATTTAATTA